GTGCAGGGCAGGGGTGCAGAGCAGGGATGCAGACCAGAGACACAGAGCAGGGGGGAAGAGCAGAGACACAGAGTAGGAGTGCAGGGCATGGGTGCAGAGCAGGGGAGCAGAACAGAGACACAGAGCAGGGGGGAAGAGCAGGAGCACAGAGTGGGGTGCAGAGCAAGGAGCAAAGCAGGGGCCCCAGCCAAACAGATTCGGCGCCCCCCCCCCCCCCAGTGGCCGCCTCCTCGGTGCTGGCCAGGGGGCTGCTGGGGGAGAGGCCGAGTCTGGCTGGAGCCTGGAGGAGAGGGCAGCGAGTGCGCCCGGGAGAGGGAGGTGAGGAGCGCAGACGTACTTGAGGTCAGCAGAGTGGGCAGCCATGAGGTTTCTGAGGCTCTTGTCAGCAAGAGGGCAACCAGAAAGGCTGAAAGAGAAGAGAGGGTGCGGGGTGAGCACAGGGGGGCGCAGCGGAAAGAGAGGGAGCAGACCCACCACGCAGCACCCAGGCTTGGCGCTCGGGGACAAACCTGCGGTGGGAGGCATAGTTTCCGGTGATGTGGCCACTGCCATCACAGCCGGGGGTGGGACAGCTGGACAAAGAGAGAGAGCATCAGAACCGACCACGGCAGCCCGCCTCCCTCCACCCGCCTCTGAGTCCTCCCTGGGCAGCTTCCCTGAGCGAGAGGGGAGTCCTTGCCTTAACAGAAGGGAGGCCTCAGCATGCTAGAGACCAGGCATCCCCAGCCCGAGCTGAAGCCCGTGGCTGCCCCTGCCTGAGGCTGCCTGGGAGCTGGGCAGAATCTGATTCAGACCCAGTAAGGGGTTCTGGTGGGGCTTCAGGCTCCTGGGAGCCAGGGCTTCGGGCACACAGGGGCCTGGGGTGGGCCGCTAGGTGCCACACGTGGTGGCAAGAGTGCTGGTGGGGAGGGAGGGCCCAGAGTGCAGCCCAGGCAGGCTGATCAGTGGTGGGACAGGAGTGAGAGCCACCCTTGCACACCCTCATTTGCAGGTGCACACACACACTATGCTGAAACAGTCTTCACACAGCCAGACACACAGGCCACTCTCACGGTGCTCACACCCCCTTCCACTTGCTTGCACACACATAACACACTCATGGCCCTCACAGGTTCTTGCAAAATCCCCACAGACATGCCTGGCACATCCTTGTATGCCTTTGCACATCTTCACACATGTGACACCCCTAGCATGTCATTACACACAATATGCCCACACACGCACTCACATGCCTGCCCAAGCTCACACTTATTGCATACTCTTGCATAAGGCACATCCTTGCCTGCCCTCACAAATCCTGACACACACCCTCTCACATTCACATAACATGCCTGCAGACACCCTCACATGACATGCCCCGACACACCAGGACACACCGTAACATTCACACATGCCTGCACATGCCTGAACACCCTCCATGACATGCCTTCACACACTCTTCCCAGATTACATGTCTTCACATACACACACAACATACTCTCACATAAACACACATGACATGTCCTCACACACATACATACAACAAACCCTCACATTTGTACACATGACACACGCTCACATGTGGACACACGACATGCCCTCACATGCCTGTCTATGACACACCCTCACATACACAACATGCCCTCACATATGTACACCATGACACATTCTCGTATGTGCGTGCATGGCATCACATACACATGACATGCCCACACATATGCATATACAACTGATCCTCACAGGCATACACACAGCATGCCCTTGCTCCTGAACGCACAGCACTATCTTTCTCCCTGGGGAGCAGTCAGTTGGTAAGAGCCTGTTGCTGGGCCCTGTGAGGCGGGTTCCCGGATGGGCAGAATCAGCGGAAGGCTGATCATCTGCAGCCACAGACGTCTGGGATGGCCCTGGCAACCAAGGAGGGACTTACGTGAGCAGCTCTTTCTTTATGTCCTTGGAGAGAAACTTCAGCTTGAAGTTGGTCAGGGTGACTTCCCCTGGGTACTTCCGCTCCTCGAAGCTCTCCTCCAACACCTCTTGGTCATCTGCTTCAGAAGAAGCAAAAGAACGGGCTGCTGGCTCAGACTGCAAAAGACCAGCGGGTAGAGGCTTTAACCGCTGTGAGCAGCGGGGGCTCCCCGGGCAGTGCTCGGCCAGCCGGCACCAGGCCCAGGCCCGCATTCTCCTGGGCCCGAGGCTTAGACTCCCTCTGGGCCCCTGTGTAGCTGCTTTTAGACGTAGAGTCCCTCTGGGCCCCTGTGTAGCTGCCCCGGCTCACCTCTAGTCTCCCCCTCCCCAAACGGGGGCTGGAGGCACTGCCCAGTGTCAGCAGAAGGTCCAGAGGACTGGGCGCAATTGTCATGAGCTCATCTGCCATGAGGTAGGAATCAGCCCGGACCTGGCACCTGGTGACACCGGTTGGCAGGTGTCCTCTATGGCCCCGCCCCTCCTGGCCCGTGAGCTACAGAAACCCCACAGGACCATCCAGGGAAGCCAGGACGAGCCTCTGAGCCAGTGGTGGGAGCTCATTAAACACTGCCGCTGCTGCCACCACTGCCACCAAATGTACTGAGACCCGCGGAGGTACCCACTCAGGACGAAGGGAGGAAGCCCAGG